CTCTGGGACGCCTACAAACAAAGCTGCCACCCCAATTTCGTGAGTCAACAGAACGATTTATTTTCTATGGTTTGCCTCCCACGCCCCCCACCCATCAGCTTTTTTCTTCGTTGGTCTTCTTCGACCCCCACTCCAAGTGAGGGCAGAAATGTTTAGGTTTCCTAACCAATACCTCCCAGCACCCACTTACCCCCCCATCCACGTTATTATAGCCTTCAAATGAAGTCCAAAACGCAGAGCGCTAATTGAATTAGTCTATTGGAAGGACTGTCAGGTACAATGACGAGGCTCGAGGCCCCACATTTCCCAAGATCTATAGACTTTGGGGACCTGCGATGTGTAGTCTGACCTTCCGGCTCATAATAATACCGCAGCACTTGTAGCAGAAATCTCCTTGCATTCACTTCCAACAAAACCGCTGGTCACCCAGTCCCCGTAGGAAGGCTGCACGCTATTGTGTTGCGACAACTCATTCATGTCCCGAACCACGAGGCCCCACCGTCATCTGATCTACACTCGAAATGCGATTACCACCGTGTGCGTGCAACACGCTCCTACTCCCGGCCCATGGAGCACACGTCTGACCAGGCTGTAAGATTTTCTTTTGCAATTCTCCTCATCCTCAAAAGAGATTTGGAAGCACACGGACGGACACTTGTCCCTGCCTAAACGAAATCTAAAATTCTTCAGAATGTCAGGGTGGTAGGAAAATTCTCTCGTAAGACCAGCATACGGAAAAACTCTTAGCAAACACATTTCTCCCCACTCACCAGTGAGGCTGACTTGGACTTACACACTAGTGAGCACACACAGGAGTTTCCTGACACACATACATTTATACACACACACACAAAGCTCTTATCGGCTTGTTTTCTCCCTGGGAGGCTCTCACACCAACAAATAAACAAATACAAGCCTCAGCTGCCACAGCTGGTGGTCGCTCTCCAAGATTACTAATTGGTATTTCAAGATTGAAAAAGAAAGGAAAAACTCCTCCAGCAGCACTCCCCTCTCAACAGTGGAACTGTTCCCCTCTGGCCAGGTGTCATTTGGTCAGTGGTGGCTCCTGATTAGCCTTAAAGAATGGAGGAAGTCTGGGGGTAGGAGGGTGAGAGAGTTGGGGGTCTCTACTATCCTGTTTACATCATTCCCCACCACTTAAGGATTTTATTCTTGGACCCACTTCTTCCTTCAACTATTTGACATTTGGAACAAAAAATCTTTTTCTTCCTTGTCATTTCCCACTTTTATCTGGGCCAGATATAGAAAGGTAACTTGAGGGCGATCAACCTACTGCGGAGATATGGTGCAGATCAGGGTCTTCTATTGGGCTTCACACTCAGGTAACTGCACAGCAGTGGAAACAGACGCTGGGCTCCCCCACCCCCAGCTTCGGAACCATTGGCCTAGGAGCGGATGGCATCTGAAGAAAGGACTGCATTCCATTTGGGGCAGGTTCCCTCAGCTGCTTCCAGCAGGCTCACCTCCCTTCTATCCTGGTCTGGGCATCTATGAAATTGGAAGAAATTCCTTAGCTGCCAAAGGCAGGAAGCAGTAGTCTGGAAAGGGCAGCCACACCAATGTCCACACACCCCCTATACACACCAAACCCCTTCATCCACGTACTTGAACATATGAAATTGGAAACTCACCCTGCCTGCTCATCCTGTTCTTAGCTCCTCACCCACAAGCCCAGCCCTGGGCTCAAAGTCCTCTGGACCCTCAGATATCCGTCTCAGCCAACATTCACTCACTCAGCCCTCAACCGGACACACCTCACTCCCAGGCTTGCTAGGACGCCAACACGCCTACATAGAGTACCCAATAGTATGTTCAAGTTTGGGAGGGACAGAGGGCGAAGAGCCTGGGTGGGGGTCGTGGGGCGCAGGCTGAGTGGGATACAGAGCATCCGGCCCTGGCTGGGCCTGGGGGAAGGTGGGGTGACAAGCCAGCGCGCGCGGAGCGCCGCCTAATCCAGCCCGAGCTCGTGGGCCGCGGGTGCATTTATCATCCCATTACTGTAACAAATCCGGGCTCCACTACATGAAAGGTAAAATGAATTACCAACGTTAAGCCGTCAATAAAGTCATTTCTGTAAATGGTGTCTCCAAAGGGCCGCGGCATTATTCAGCTGGCTTTATCAGTTGGCTGGAAATTACGTGGAGGAGCCGGGCTGCGCGGCGCGCAGGGCCGCTCACTTTGATTAAGCGTCTTGCCAGCGCGATGTGACAGAGCTTTTGACCAGGGTTTTATTCACAGGCCTGTGATGAACGCCAAGCTGATCAGGCGGAATGAAGAGTAATTAAAACCTATAAATTATCTTCCGCAGCCCTTCTCACGGCGTCTCCTGCAGGCGAGATAAGGCGTCGAGACCCTATTTACGGCACTGAAAGGGACCGCGGTGCACAAAAGCTACGCGGCTAAATAGGATATTGATAGTGTCCTAATTAGAATTTAATTAAGTACCCACGCTCGCTTGCGGGATAAAGATTTCAATTTTTCGAACTTAAATATAAATAAAATCCCACCCCCATTTCGGGAAGAAGTGGGGGCGCTTGGAGATTTCGGGGAGTCCTTAGGTGTAAGACCGAAAGGGACCCGGGAGACTTCAAGGTGGGTTTGGGAGCGGCTTAAGAAAGTTGGGGAGATCGCAGTCTCGTTCAGCACAGCGCTGGGGAGAGAGGTTCTCTCCACCAAGCTGGCGCGCAGGTCTAATCAGGAACTCGGCCCCGGAAATCAGGAAACCCTCGGCTGACCCAAGGGTGCAGTCAGCAGTAGGATTTTCCGTTCTCCACGAGCCCCCATGGAGAAACTTCAGCTATTGCCGTGGTTGGGTTTGTTGTGTTTTTAGCTGTATGTTTCCTCCTAACCTAACCCTCCGTGGCTTTATTTTTTGTTTTTGGAAAACTGCTGATAGGCAGCTTAATTCGCATTTCCCAAATAGATAATATCTCCAAAGAGATCCTCTACCCCAGTGTCCCAGTGGAGGATGATGGTCAGAGAAGGCAGGTCCGCTGGATCTTCAATAAGATATCCCGCGAAGGCCTCGTTTGCTAGAGTTTCTTGGTTACCGCAGGCTTCAGCAGACGGTCGGACCCTGGCCCTCCAAAACAGCTCCACAGGCAACCAGCGGCGCCACGCGCCTCACTCCCACCCTCTCGGCCACCACATCCTAGTTATGGGAAAGTTCTGAGGTGAGCCCAACAGACCGGAGCGTGGGAACAGCTGGAGATGCGAGAGTCCCCCAAAGCTGGAGAGGAATGCTCAGGGGTAGATCCTAAGTGGGAGTCTGGAACAATCCCTGGAAGTCCACTTACCCCAAAACTGGGGGTGTGGGGGAAACGACCACATCTTCAGCTGGCCACGCTAACATTTGGGGTGCAGTGTTTTTATTTATTTAATTTTACTTTGCAGGGATATCTAACTGGAAGGATTCTCTGAATTCGAAACTTAGGACTCAAGCAATTTGCGTTCTAACTCGTCAGGCCCAGGGACCCTCCTGGGACAACCCTACCATGCTGACAACCCCAACTCTCGCAGCCAGGGAAGTAAAAGGCCGTGGGCGCTGGAGCTCTTCCGCGCCCTCTGGGCCTAGCTCAATTGCACCAAGGCACCCAGGTGTTGTCGAAGGTCCATCCGGACTGGGAAAAGCACGGGTGCAGAAGCGCCAGAAAGGACAGAGTGAGCCTTACAAACCGGCAATGCTAATAGGCCTGCAGGGTTTGCTTTTGCTGTTTGAGAAAAATACACCGCACCTCTCGAAGTAGACAACTCTAGGTCTAGGTCTATTTCACATCACTGACCTCCTGATCTCACTCTCCCCCTATAAACACACAGACACGCACATCCAGGCAGTGACAACAAGCAACAAGCTTCGTAATAGCAGAAAGAGGAGAAAGAGAGCGAGAGCGAGCGAGCGAGCGAGCGAGAGAGAGAGAATTTCTCAGGAGTGGGGGGGATGCAGAAGAACACAGTCCCCTGCCGCTTGACCCTGTGCCGGCGCGCACGCACCCATAATCCTTCATTTTTCCAACAAGTTGTTTATGGAGTTGATTCTCTATTGGCCTACACCCCGAAATTCACCCCTCCTGGGTCTCTTCGTCCCCTCCTCAGTCCAGGTCTGAAGGAGGGGGGTGGGGCGCGAGCACGGGTGGGGGAGGGTGGTCCGGACGCACTGGGCCCCAGCCGCGGCACCCCCTCTCCACCCGCGGCCGCCACCCCCGGATTATTTATCCGCAAAGTCCCGCGCGCGCCCATTGGGCCGAGCCCCGAGTGTCAGCGCGAGTCGCGGCTCGCCATTGGCCCCGCACACGTGCGGCCCTGACTCACGTGCTTCCGGTTTGAAGGCAAAAAGTGTGCCTGGGTGATTTTTTTTTTAAGCGAGAGTTTGTGCAAAGATCCGAGCTGTCAGAGATTTGAGGGGGAAAAAAAAAAAAAAAAAGGAGCCGGGCGCTGGCGGAGGCGCGCTCTCCCTGCAAAAAAAGCAAAGGCGATTAAAGGCGCTGCCAGCCTCGCGCTCTGGGCACAGCTGAGCGTGACACTCGGGGAAGTCAAACCCCTCACTACTGCCTAGGAAGATGGCTAGACTTTAAAGACTATTTTTTTTCCCTTTAAGAAAAAAAATTCTTGGAGCTTTTTTCTTTTTTTCTTCCTTTTCTTTCCTTTTTTCTCTCTTTTTTTTTTGACCGTGGCTTACTCCCCATTTAAAAAAAAAATCATTGAATCTGGTTGCAGAAAGAAAAAGAAATAGCCAAGTGTCTCCATATCTGGATGTCTACAAATTAGAGAGGGAGAGACAGCGAGATCTATCTGCTCGATAAGAGCAAGCGATCCAGGCCAGACGCCTGGGCTTTTTTCCGGCACCCGCCCCGTGCCTTCGCTGAGGCTTCGCCTGCCTCCTTCCTCCGCACACCCCCACGGGCCGCTGGCAAAGTGGGGTGGGGAGCGAGGCGGGGGGGGCGGGGGCCGGCGCGGCGGCCGGGGCGGCGGGGCGGCCGAGCATGGAAGAACAGCAGCCGGAACCTAAAAGTCAGCGCGACTCGGGCCTCGGCGCGGCGGCGGCGGCCCCGGGCGGCCTCAGCCTGAGCCTCAGTCCCGGCGCCAGCGGCAGCAGCGGCAGTGATGGAGACAGCGTGCCCGTGTCCCCGCAGCCCGCGCCCCCCTCGCCGCCCGCGGCGCCCTGCCTGCCGCCCCTGGCCCACCACCCGCACCTCCCCCCGCACCCCCCGCCCCCGCCGCCGCCGCCGCCGCCGCCACCACCACAGCATCTCGCGGCGCCTGCTCACCAGCCGCAGCCCGCGGCCCAGCTGCACCGCACCACCAACTTTTTCATCGACAACATCCTGAGGCCGGATTTCGGCTGCAAAAAGGAGCAGCCGCCGCCGCAGCTCTTGGTGGCGGCCGCGGCCGCCGGAGGAGGCGCAGGAGGAGGAGGCCGGGTGGAGCGTGACAGAGGCCAGACTGGCGCAGGTAGAGACCCTGTCCACCCGCTGGGCACGCGGGCCCCGGGTGCTGCCTCCCTCCTATGCGCCCCGGATGCGAACTGTGGCCCACCCGACGGTTCCCAGCCTGCCACGGCCGCAGGCGCGGGCGCGTCTAAAGCCGGGAACCCCGCGGCGGCGGCGGCGGCGGCGGCGGCGGCAGCAGCGGCCGTGGCGGCGGCGGCGGCGGCAGCAGCAGCAGTCAAGCCCTCGGACAGCGGCGGCGGCAGTGGAGGTAGTGCGGGAAGTCCCGGCGCTCAGGGCGCCAAGTACCCGGAGCACGGCAACCCGGCCATCCTCCTTATGGGCTCAGCCAACGGTGGGCCGGTGGTCAAAACTGACTCGCAGCAGCCACTCGTCTGGCCCGCCTGGGTCTACTGTACGCGCTACTCGGATCGCCCGTCCTCCGGTGAGTACCCCAGCCGGGGCTGCGCTGTGCTGTCCGGCCGAGCAGACGCCCCCCAGAACTCCAAGCCGCCGTGCTGGGGAGAGCACGCCTGCTTCCTCCTCCTCACCCCCGGTTTCAGCCACAACTGAACGTGCACCCACTTCTGCGATCCTGGCTCCTGCGGCCACCACCCGGGAAGCTACAGTTTTTGGCACAGGAGGCTCCAGTCTCCAGTGTCGATCCTTTGATTTTTGAATTCCGAGCCCCTGAGGCCTTCTTTGGGTTTTACCTTTATTGTTACTAGGAAAGACATACAATTAGTTATTGATTTCTTTTCTCCTCCCGGGAAAGGGATGTTTAGAAGGTAGGCCTAGTGACCTCGGTCTGAAATTCACAAGCCTGGTCCTGCGGAGGCCGGCTTTGACAAGGGAAGGATTTGACCAGAGAAATAATCGGTGTTCTTACAAACACAAACATTATCTAGATATTTTCTGCATAGAGACAGATAAGGGGACACACGGGAAGAGAGAAAAAATAGCCACCCTTTTCTCCCAGCCTGGTAGCAAGAGAGTCGAACCCGGGTGGGTAGAATGCGAAGAAAGGAAGTTGCCAGAAAGGTGCCCGGAGCCCTTGGTTCTCTGGAAGTGGCAGACTGTGGGAGAGGAAAGACAGTAGGGCGAAGGGCAGGAAGGACAGCCTTCGCAGCTTCTCCTCAGCGAGGCTCCTATGTCTCCTGTGCCCTCGGTCCTGCGCCTTCTTTCACTCCTACAGCCCACACATCTGCCAATTAGTAGATTTCTGCCAGCCGCAGGCCGGTTTTTCTTGGCTTTCCCTGCTACCCTTGTTCCGTGTGCACCTCGCACTTGGTGAACCCAAGGCCAAGACCTGCCCCAGGGACAGTCTCTGGGCCCCAGAAAAGAGGCTGGGGCCTGTCCGAAGCACTGACTGGGAGAGCCTGGGAAGGCAGCTGGGACCTCGAGGGGAGCGGCAGGGTCTTTGGTTCATGATCAGGGCTCCGGGCGCCTGGGTCCGCCAGGGGGCCGGGTACAGCGTAGCCGCGCGGCCCTACTCTGGCTGGTCTCTCGCCGCCTGGCTGCTGCTGGCCGGGCGCGGATCGATGCGTGCTATCAGCCCCCGCCATCTCGAGCCCCGTTATTGACACGTCGGGCTCCCTGAACCTCCGAAAAGCTGCTTTGATTGACTCGCTTGATGGATAGAGTGATTGAGCTGTCAGGTTGTGCGGCTCGGGCTGGCCGGGAGGCTACGATTTTATTACAAGTGTCCGTGCCTCTTCGCATACACATACATGCCCCAGACGCACAACGAGCAGTGAGGCCTTTCTGGAGCTGTGCACCTTTCCTGGGACACCTCTGCCCGCTCAGCTAATGACTCATCTAAACCCCAGTCCTGAGTCCGTGCGCTGGAGTGGGCCTTGTCTTTGTTCCTGGCGACTTTGCTTCTTATAGGCCTGGAGAGGAAGGGCACCAGATCTTTTTCCTACATGCGCAGTTCTGGGGGGTGAGCTGAAACCAGTTCTAAGTGACTCCAGTCTGCTAGGCCTGGACTCTTTGTCATAGAACAGCTGGTGACCCCAGGCCCTGGCCTGGCCCAGGATCCTGTTGCCCACCATATCCCTCTGTTGCTAATTTGGATGTTGGCAAAGACCCTTCCTTCTAGACAGTTTTAGAGAGTGAAGGGCCTGAGAGGGACTTGACTCCTGACATTTCCATAACCAAGACAAGACCCAGCAAGTCAATGCCAGAAACCTAGGCGCGGAAGCCAAGATGCAGGTTCAGGCTTTCCAGACATTGACCAACAATTGGATCCTCTTCTGGCTTGACCCTTGCTCTCCTTTCTCTCTTCAGAGCTGAACCTCATAGCAGCCCAACTAGTGTTGCAGGGAGACTTCACCTTCCTGGGGATCTTTCCGGTGGCCTCTTCCCATACCCATTACGGGGTCACAGTGGAGATTGTCCCTGTTACCATCCCTCTGTCCTTATGGATTGGGGAGTAGGATGTAGACTCCTTGCAAAGCCAATCTGGCTTGTTGTTATTCTGGACTATTCCATTCTGAAAATTCAGAAAGCCTGTTCAAAGGAGAGGTAGTGGGCCCTGCCTGGACAGTTAGGCTGAGGGTACTCTTTTTTTTAATTACACCATTTAAGAATCAAAGCAGCTCATGGGATAGGGCCTGCAGCTGGGTGAGGGCCTCTTCTTTCCCCCTCAAAGTGTCTTCCTTTGGCCCTAGAAAGGGCCTAATTCAGGCCAAAGAGGAAGAAGAGGAGACCTCAGATTTTTTGGAGCCTCCTCCTTGTCCCTGCTTCTTCAGGTTAATGCCTACAAGCACATGGGCTCTTACTGTAGGTTCCTGGGTGCAGGTTGCTTCTTGGGAAGGAAGGGAAAACCCAGTCGTTTCCCCAGGGCCTGTCTTCACTTCTTGTCCTTTTTATCCCAGGGTTGTGAGAACAGCAGGGCTCAGGGCTAGGAACCCCTAGTCTAGGCTAGGCTGAATGGCATTCCAAATCTCTCTCCATTTTGTATTCCCGCCTTATTGACCGGGAAGTATTGTGATTTAAGTCTATTCTCAGCTCTCCAGATCTGAATTGGCATGTGGAGTGCACATACAACCTTGACCAGTTTTCCTACAACACTTCTTTGCCCACTTCCTATAAGGGAACTGGAGATTCCAGTGTCCCACCCAGGGCCTCTGATCCCGGGATTGGCTGAAAGGAGGGAGCCAGGCCCAGTAGGGCCTCCGCGATCGCCCCGGAAGCTCGGGGCCCAAGTCGGCTCGGCACTGCCATTCTCACGCTTCCTTTGCCCTCTTCCCCCCTCCCCTCTGCCCTCCGTCCCCACCCCCACCCGGCCTTCGCCGCTGCAGGTCCGCGCACCAGGAAGCTGAAGAAGAAGAAGAACGAGAAGGAGGACAAGCGACCTAGGACGGCGTTCACTGCCGAGCAGCTGCAGAGACTCAAGGCGGAGTTCCAGGCGAACCGCTACATCACGGAGCAGCGGCGGCAGACCCTGGCCCAAGAGCTCAGTCTCAACGAGTCCCAGATCAAGATCTGGTTCCAGAACAAGCGCGCCAAGATCAAGAAAGCCACGGGCATTAAGAATGGCCTGGCGCTGCACCTCATGGCCCAGGGACTGTACAACCACTCCACCACCACGGTCCAGGACAAAGACGAGAGCGAGTAGCTGAGGCCGGCCGGGGCCGAGCGGTCCGGCCAAGGCGCCCGCGCCCCCTCCTGGCACCGCCGCCGCTGCCTCGCCGGCCCCGCGACCGGGGAGAAATAATCAGCGCAAAGGAGGGGGAGGTGGGGACAACAGGGAAGAGAAAGAAAAAGAGAGCGAGAGCGAGAGCGAGAGCGAGCGAGCGAGAGAGAGAGATCCTCGGAGTGGACAGTTACATTGGAAGGAGACATTTTTGAAAAAGGAGAAAGACTCGGACAGGTGCTATCGACAAATATGATCTATTCTCTGTTCACAGTATAAGGGACGAAACTGCGAACTCCTTAAAGCTCTATCTAGCCAAACTGCTTACGACCTTGTATATATTTAATTTCAGGTAAGGAAAACAAATACGTGTAGCGATCTCTATTTGCTGGACATTTTTATTAATCTCTTTTATTATTATTGTTATAATTATTATAATTATAATTATTTTATCCCCTCTTTCTCCCGCCTCGCTGCCCCCGTCCCACTTTCGTTTTCGTTGCCTTTTTTTCTTTTGAATGTTTTTTGCTTCTCCCCTACTTCCCGACCCGCATCGCTGGCCCTCGTTTCTCTGGGACTTTTCTTTGTGTGCGTGAGAGTGTGCTTCCTCGCGTGTCTGCCCTTCGCCTCTCCCCAGCCTCCCAGGATCCTTCTGTTGGTCTGTCTGTCCTGCCCTCCCCACCCTTTCGTTTTCTGGAGACTCGTTGAGAAATACGACCCTACAGACTGCGAGACTGAACCGCCGCTACAAGCCAAAGATTTTATTATGTTCAGAAACCTGTAGTCTGAAATAAAGTGTACACTGTGCTCACGAGCCGCTGGCGACCTTCCTCTTTGCGGACTCGGGAAGGGCGTGGGCACACTGTGCGCACAAACCTGGGTGTCTCGGTCGGACTTTAGATCACTGCCCAAGGAATGCGGGGGGTGATGGAGCGGCGCAGAGGCAGAGGCAGCCCAGATTAGGGTTTGGCCTGGGTCTGGAGGATCTGGCGAGCACGCCAGGTCTCTGATTGCGTTCAAGGGAAACTAAAGGCCAGCAAGCCCACCCCTGACTTCAGAAACTGCTCCCTCCGCGCACACCCAGGCTTTGCTGGCTGCAGCTTCCCGTTCAACCTGCCCCTTGTGCCAGCATACACGCTTTTGTTTCCTTTTTCTTCTTTTCTTCCTTCCTTCCTTTTTTTTTTTTCTTCTTCTTGACGCAGGTTTTTCTCCTCCAAGGGCAGAAGGCCTTCCCAGGGCGGGTTGTGGTAGGGGGCTGTTTCCCGTGCTTAGCGGCCAGCTAGCCCGTGGGAGTTTTGGGGGGTGCCTCTGTCACTTGGACCTGACTGCTTTGTGTTTGAGGGAGTAATTCCCTTGGCAAGTAGTGGGTCTGGAGTGGCACAGAGCCTCACTGGGCTGGGGTCTCCTAGTCCCGTAAAGCTAAGAAAAAGGAGGTCCGGATGCTAGGAAAGCTCTTGCAGAGTGGCCACCGCTTGGATCTGCTCCGGGCCTAGAATCCTAAAATGGACACAGGCCTGCGTGTTCATGACCCAAAGCCTGAGGAGGGGTCCTTTCCAGAATCCCAACAAAGCATGGCTTACTTCCTCAGGGAGGGGATCGCACAGAGAAGTCCCTAGAACTGTCCGGACATTTGGACACTCCTGAGGGAAATGTCTGGATTCCTGCTGGTTGCCCTGGGGCCTGTCCTTCCAGGTCAGGGACTGGACATTCATGGGGCAGTGGGAAAGAAAGGAGGGCCTTCCTTAGGAAGTACCATCTCCCCTTTGTCTATTTTTTAAATTATGAATTCTGTTCCTTTTTTTTCTCTTGTGCACTATGTTTGCATGTACCTGGGTAGATGTATGCATGTGGCGAGGTAGATGAGTGTCCACACACGCTTGTGTGCTTATGTGATGATGTGCATGTTTTGGTGCGTCCAAGCTCTTCTCTGTTTTGTGTGTATTCCCCAATACACGATATGTTTGTATCGAGTAACGGGATGTTCTTTGATCACATGCACAATTGGACGATTTGAGCTCATGGCTTGTGTACATCCATTCATTTGTGTTTGCATGTTGGAATGTTTGCCTAGTATGTTTTAGGGGTTTGTGCATGTGAGACAACCCTGATCTCTGTGCCCTTCCATTGGGTTTCTTCCCTGTTGCTTTTTGCAGGATTGATTTTGAGAGATATAAGAATTCCGCCTTTGTATCATTAAAAAGTCCCCCTCATTTGGCCCAATGTCCTACTCCCTCCTGGTCATGGAAATGACAGTGCTCACTCCACACCCAGGAAGCTGAGGGCCACATCCAAATCCTTGCACAAGGGCTTGGGAACTTGGGGTTTGGGGGCCTGAAGTGGAGTTGGAGGGTACATTTGACATTGCTATAGGTCCCCAAGTTTATTGCAGTAACTCCCTTCCATCCACTATTGTTTTCTTGGGTAAGCCCTGCACGTAATACATGCTCCAACAATCTTTGTGTGCCGAGTTAGAAGCAGTGTGGCCAGTACAGGCTTTGCTTCCATTGCAGGCGTGGAGCTAGGAGTCTTCAAGCCCTGCAGGCCTTCATGTTAGGGGGTCTGAGAGCTAGGGTTCAGGTATGGGTTCTCTAATCCAGACTTCTCAGAACTTCCAGAAGGGTCCCTGTACATGAAGATGTGTTGCTGGGGACACTCAGCTCCATAGAGAACCTTACCAACTTGAGTATCTGGGAATTGGGATATTTTCCCTTGTCCCTTCCCCACTGTGGCTCCATGGGATACCTAAGGCCCTTAGCCCAGATTCAGAGGCTGGGACAGAGGCATCCTGAACAACAGCTCCACTCTTAAGGCTTCTCCACAGAGATCAAAGCCAAGAGCGCTTCCCCACAGCCCATTGAGAGAAGAGGGATAGTGTTGGTAAGAAGTATAGATGTGAGTGTTATTATTATTTATTATTATGTAATTTGATTTCTTGCCCATTATTTCCCTTTATCTTCTAATCACTATGGGTAAATAGAATTTCCTTCCTTGTTCACTGCAAGAAACCAAAGCTAGGAGAACTTAAACATTTTATCCATGCTTCCTGGGTGCATGTGTCTTTTTGTCGAACAGACCTCAATGATCTGGCAATGGCCCTGAAGTCACTGCCCAGAATGACCTGCTCATGCTCTCTTCCTCCTCTTTTTGACTTTTCCTTCTTCTTGATTGGGACAGAAAATAGAGGAGGAGGACTCTGATCAGACTTTTTTTTTCTTGCACTTTCTCTATAAAGAGAAAGAGAGGGAGGAAGGGAGGTATAGAGAGGGAGGGAGAGAGAGAGAGAAAGAGAGAGAGAGAGAGAGAGAGAGAGAGAGAGAGAGAGAGAGAGAGAGAGAAGATAGTAATGACCATACCTGGGCATTGATTTCTGTGATTTATGGGACTGGCTTAGTGAGCACCTGTGTATTAAAGTCTGGGGCTACATCGAGATAAATACTTGAACATCCCAACTTCCTCATTTTCTTCCTTTTTTTTTTTTTTGATCTCTTAAATGCTTGGATTGAACCATAGACTTAAATCTTCCTCAGCCTAGGAGGAAATACATGCTAGCCAAGTCTAAACAGTATTGATCCCTGACTCTTTCTGAGGGCAAAAGTCTCTGTTTTCTCCCTAGAAACTCATTTTCCTTTGGGAGATGGGTTTTGTGGGTGGGGATGGAGGAAAGAGAGAGCCATGTGGCAAGACAGGGCATTCTGATGATTGGGTCTGTGTGTGCTTATGTCTGGAGCATACTGTTGGGGGCATTTGTTCAGGGGTGGTATGAATATGAGTACACTTATTTAGGTTGGGAGGTGGAAGTGTGTCCTTTTGGGTGTATGGGCCCAGACAGGTAGTGATTGTTTGGTGTTTGTGGATGTGTGGGTGTGTGCATGTGTGCCCAGACCATAGCCCCCCTAGGTGGGGCTACTCCATACATAGAAAGAGTGGCTAGCCTGCCCCCTCCCTGGCCTCCACTGCCCTGTCACCTGTGCCAAGGCTTCCATAGATAAAGCCACCTGGGAAGCTACAATGCTTCACGACTTTCCCCTCCTCAAAGAAAAAGGCCAAGTTGGGGGCAAGATGAGCTTTAGCTAACTTCTAAAGATCTAGCAAGCCAAGGTCAGAGCCAGAGAGGGTCCTTCCAGGATGAAGGGGATGCTGGGCTTCTCTGGGGGCGGCCATCAGTTCTTCCAATGGCTAGCTTCCTTTTCTTTGGGGTGCTTGAGAAAACCCATTGCTCTGGCAGTATAGGCAACGCTGTATTCTGCCTCCACCACGTAAGAAGTGGGAAGAGTCTGAGAGGGGCAGGGAGGGCATACATCAAGCTGTCCTTACCCTACTTGCTCCGCGCCCCCATCTCTCTTTGATGCACAGCCTGGGCACACTGAAGCTGGTTATCACAGTGGGTTCAAACTGAAGACTCTGTTCACTCTGCCTGGGGGAGGAGGTGGCTGAGTATCGCCCCACTGTCCTTCTTCCACCTCAGCCTTTCTCTCCCACTCTGAACCAGCTGTGAGGATTGCCCTTACCTTTGCATGGTAACTTGTGGAAAGAGGGATGGTCAAGGTCTCTGGCCAGGCTTTTACTGCAGTTCCTGGAGTCATCCTCAGATTCTTGAATAAAAATGTTTCATTTTACAGGTGGTGAAAAAAACATCCTGAGCGGGAAAGTGCCTCACTCAAAAGCACACAGCAAGTGAGAGGCAAAAAGCCCTCAGACTTTCGGCACAACACACACGTGCAGGCTTCCACAGACAAATGCACACAGCCATGTGTAAGTGTGTGCACTATGGAACACAAATACATGTGTGTTCAAGCAAGCACAGGATAGTGCCAGGGTAGAAGGTTCTGGCACACATACATGGGCCAGGAATACATGTCCTGGGGTCCAGTGCATATGAGCATACCTCAAGTATTGGACTTCATTCCTATGCAGGGCCAGAGACAGATGTGCCTGTCTCCTCTTCTACTTGGAGGTCACAAGGGAACTGGGGCTGCAGGAGTAGGGTGTATCAGTTGTACTGGAGCCTAGAAGACAGGAGTCAGGGATGCTGGGGACAGGAAGGACAGCCCTGTGGTTCTCTCTGTACAGCTAGGTACAGGTGCTGGGTACAGGTGTGGCTGC